ATGGCTTTCATCAAAGCCAACTCTCTATCCGTAATAATGACTTTTGGAAAAGCAATATTCTCCATAATAGTACGCAATACGCCTAAAGCCCATGTATAGTTATCCTCCCGTTCATGACCAAGATAAGCAAAAGCAACTGAAAATGTCAAGTCCGTTTATGTTACCCCAATAATCTCTAAGAGAGGGAGTCGATACATATTAGTTTTGTATGTGCAATCCATAATCAAGATATGTGGAAATACACGTAACAACTCCAAACTAACCGGGTGTGCCCAAAACAAGTTAGTCACCGTCTCTCTATCATCACATCGATGCCACTCAACATAATTTTGAATCGGCAATTGCCCTAATAGTTAGTGCATCTGTGATCTTCCCACCCTCGATATTACTCGATGTCGATGGCGTGCGTTGTAGATTGTCTTCATTGTTGTCGCATTATAGGCATCCATTCGTTTCAATGTAACCAATATCTCTTTTAGTTGCACCATACTCTTTGACATGTTAACTAATAAGGATGTTTCCTCCTTAGATAATCTGCCAGCAAATGAGTGCCCTTCAAGATGTTCAGCAGACGGATGATTGTGCACTCCGCATAAGACATGCAACATCCACTAATCATTTGTAGGCAATTTTTCCCCCTTAATAGAAATGGACATCCACATTTTTTAGAACCTGTCAACCTCAATTGTTCCCCCTTGATCTTCTTGTTGTCTCTATAGTAACCACTTATTTCACAAGCAAGGGTAAGTTTTGGTTTTCTGTCATTACCTCCTGTATTTGATGTCTTTGTAACAATGACAAATCCAGCATTCTTCCCAACATCAAAAGCCCATTTAATTAATGCTTGACAACTACTAAAAATCTAAACATAATAAATACATTTATACGTCAAATTATTAATAAAACTCAATACAAATTAAAAATAAGAAAAAATCGTATTCATAAAGAAACTTAGCAAATCTCGTATGTAATGAATTCATGATTGGAGTCCACTAATAATGCAGTACTTGCGTTGTTGCAATGAGTATAAGTATAATGCTTCCAAGCAAAAAAATATAAAAATATATAATAAAAAAAAACTAAAAATACATGGTAATGAGTGGCCGAACAAATTTAAAAAATCTAGCCTTATATTACCGTAAATGTATCTTTTATTCGGCAGTTGGCTACTAGACTTATATTTTTTGTTCGACATGTCAACCTCAATTGTTCCCCCTTGATCTTCTTGTTGTCTCTATAGTAACCACTTATTTCACAAGCAAGGGTAAGTTTTGGTTTTCTGCCATTACCTCCTGTATCTGATGTCTTTGTAACAATGACAAATCCAGTATTCTTCCCAACATCAAAAGGCCATTTAATTAATGCTTGACAACTACTAAAAATCTAAACATAATAAATACATTTATACGTCAAATTATTAATAAAACTCAATACAAATTAAAAATAAGAAAAAATCGTATTCATAAAGAAACTTAACAAATCTCGTATGTAATGAATTCATGATTGGAGTCCACTAATAATGCAGTACTTGCGTTGTTGCAATGAGTATAAGTATAATGCTTCCAAGCAAAAAAATATAAAAATATATAATAAAAAAAAACTAAAAATACATGGTAATGAGTGGCCGAACAAATTTAAAAAATCTAGCCTTATATTACCGTAAATGTATCTTTTATTCGGCAGTTGGCTACTAGACTTATATTTTTTGTTCGACATTATGATGTCGGACTATGTTATTTTGTTCGATTTCGAAGCACGGAACAAAACTCGAAGACTAGCCTTAAAAATCGAAACAAAAACCTACCAAACAAACAAGAAAACTCACCACTTCACTTTTTTGATGGTTCTTCACCGTCATTTCTTCATCCATTACTTTCTTTGATGATCAAAACACTGTGATTCTCACTTTTTAAAAAGAGATGTTTAAGAAAAAAGAAAAGTTGAGAAAGGAAAAAGAGGAGTAGGGATTGAAGACCAAGGGGTGTAAGGAAATAATAAAATATATTACTTTTAGTGTTCTATCCTTAAAAGTAATTTCACACATAGATAAAATTGGAAGAAAAAAAAAATCGGGTGATTCTACTTACATCACTATTTAACCTCTTTACACCCTCCATCTCATTACACCATTGAAAAAAATATAATTCTCATTACACCCCCAATATATTACCAAAACTAACTCTAGATTAACTATTTCATCTCTTTACACCACTAATTTTGGTAACACGGTGCAATTTACATTATTCTGGTGTTATGCTGCCCAAAAAAATAGATCTCTCCAACATTTTGTTGCTATACATTTACAAAGACACTTTCTTCCAAACAATGATTTTTTAATTTGTGGTGGGCCTGTTCGGTAATACAACATTAATTAATTTGAATTACTCCAGTGCCATATTACCGGACAATAATTTTTTTTCCTAGTATTATGTTGTCGTCTAATTAGATTATAACAAGAAATTACTTTGGACCACTCGTGAAATGCATGTTCAGTGATACATTGTTATACAAATGGGATTACTCTAGTGTCATGTTGCCAAACTACAATAGAGTTGTCTAGGCCCTCGTCGCTGTACATTGAAAGATTTACTTTTTTCTTGAAGCATCTATAAAAAAATTCATAAATCAAACACGCATCCATAAAATCATACATAAAAAGTATTCATAAAATTATTTATAAAAACATCAAGTGTATGAATATCCATAAAGTATCTATAAAATATGTCATTGTTTGCATCCATCAATCAAACATGTTATCACAATTCGTCTTGCTAATTTGTAGGTATTTTTTTCTCCCTTAATAGAAATAGACATCCACATTTTTTAGAACTTGTCAACCTCAATTGTTCCCCCTTGATCTTCATGTTGTCCCTATTGTAACCACTTCTTTTACAAGTAAGTGTAAGTGTTGGTTTTCTGCCATTATCTTCCGCATCTGATGTCTTTATAGCAATGACAAATCCAGTCTTTTTCCCAAAATCAGAAGCTTGTTTAATTAAAGCTTCACGATTACTAAAAAACTAAAAATAATAAATACATTTATACGTCAAATTATTAATAAAACTCAATACAAATTAAAAATAAGAAAAAATCGTATTTATAAAAAAACTTAACAAACCTCGTCTGTAATGAATTCATGACTAGAGTCCACTAATAATGCAGTACTTACGTTATTGTAATGAGTATAACTATAACCCTTCCAGGTAGAAAAATAAAAAAATATAAAAAAATGAAACTGAAAATACATGGTAATGAGAAGTCAAACAAATTAAAAAAAAATCGGTTTGGGGTTACCGGAAATGTATCTTTTATTTGGTAGTTGGTTACCAGACTTATATTTTTTGTTCGACAATGTGATACCGGACTATTTTATTTTGTTCGATTTCGAATCACTTAATGAAAGTAGAACACCAGTCCAGAAAAACGAAACGAAAGCCTACCAAATAAATAAAAAAAACTCATCATTTCACTTTTTTTGATAGTTTTTCACCACCGTTTCTTCATCCATTGCTTTCTTTACTGATCAAAATACTATGATTCTCACTTTTTAAAAAGAGATGTGTAAAAGAAAAAAAAATTAAAAAAGGAAAAAGAGGAGTAGGGATTGAAGACCAAGAGGTGTAAGGAGATAACAAAATATATTTAATCTTAGTGTTTTGACCTTAAAGAAAATTTAATACATGGATAAAATTAGGAAGAAAAAAACAAAAAAAAAGGGTCATTCTATTTACACACCACTTTCCCTCTCAAGGCAAACCATTAATTAATTTATTTTTTACTACAATTTTAACCTTAAGTGAAATGACTATAAAGGACAAGTTATGATACACCCTATTTGTGTATTTACCATAAATGACAAGAATCAATATAATATAAATCATCAATTTCAAACTTGTTTCTTACGTATCTTCTTTGTCAAGAATCCAAAAATCCTAAAACTAAAATGAAAAACCCTTCAACAAATAATAAAAAATATAGTATTATTGAAGATTTTGATTGGATTCAATGAAGGATGCATCTGACAATTCTCATTCGGAACAATGGACCAATGCAAATATTATTTTTTTTGTTGTTTTCGTCGTCATTTTCGTTTATGAGTGGTAAATCGTTGTTCGGTTAACCAGAGGTGAATGATATATCATTGTTCGACAAGCTACAATCGAACAACTTATATCTGTTCAACAGACTACAATCGAATAACTTACATCTGTTCAACAAACTACAATCGAACAAGTGCAATTTGTTCGGATTACTACGATTGAACTTTTTCATTTAATTCAACTCTGTATTGCCGAACAATTATAATTTTTTTTTAATTTTTTTTTCAGAACTGTGCATCCGTGGAATGCAGTAATGTTGGATTTGGGGGTCTTCTTGACTACACGAGTCAATTTATTACCAACTGTGTTGAGCAACACCACCGACGACGTCTTGATGAGTGTTTTCAGCAATGGTGTTCACCGGTGTAAATAGAGAATGGAGGAGGAGATGAGTATCGTGGGTGTGGGGTGTGTGGCTGTGTGGAGGCAAAGTTGGAACTTTCTGTGTATATTGTTGTGGGTAGGTGGATGTGTGAGTGAGGGTATACATAAAAATTTGTGGTGTGTGATGAGAAAAATATTTATTTTTGCAATTTATTTTTGGCGTGTCTTTAGAAGTGGTTTGCCTTGAGAGGGAAAGTGGTGTGTAAATAAAGCCTTCCAAAAAAAAAAACTCATATAGAGGGTGTAAAGAGATAAAGTAATAGTGTAAGTAGAATTGTCCAAAAAATGTCATATAGAAGGTGTAAAGAGGTAAAGTAGCGGTGAAAATAAAATCACTCTATTTGATTACACATTTTTTCGTAAAAAGTTAAAATTTTTTTCATAACCCACATTTTTTCTCTACTTTTTTACTAAAAAGTCAAAAATTATACTTATCTACAACATCTCAAATCACCTCCTAATTTTTTTTTTTGTGTAATTTTGTTATTATTTTCTCCTAAACCCTAAACCCAATATATGAAATTTCAAAAGCTTCCCCTTCAGAAATTATTTTCCCCACTTCCTAATTAGCAATTTGAACAGAAAGAAACCCTACTCTCTCTCCCTCTCTGAGAAAATGTATTCGTTTCCTCAACCTGGTTCAGTCACCATCTGTGAAATCAACAGAGACTTCAGTATGAAACCCTCTCTCTCTCTCTCTCTCTCTCTCTTATATAGACACACACACACAGCGCTCAAATTTTTGTGAAAAAGTGTTTAAACTAGATGTATCATGTATGACAAATGTATATAAAATGCAGTTACGGCCGAGAACCTCTCAGACGATCGAGCTAAGGAAACTTACGCCAAAGTTCTCGTAAGTCTCCTCAATCACATGCATTTCTGTGTCTGTGTGTCTATAATTTGTATTGGTCATATATATAATTGAATGTGGTGGATAATTGTAGGGAATTGTATTCAGTGCGGTTTCTTTTCGGACCGATCATCTATTACCATCACCGAATCCGGAACAGGGTTCGGAACAACTAGGAAGAATTGATGAGAGTGTTCAGAGGAACAGCTGGTCAGCAGCACTACAGGGGATTTTTATCAATTCCCTCAAACTCCTTTTTCATCCGAATGATGTAAGTTTTTGTTTTTTCTGTTTAATTGCTTTTGCTATTGTTTGGGTTGTTACTCAAAATTTTACTCATATTTGAGTAATGGACTACTCCAATGGACAAATTCAGATTTAACCATAAATTTGAGCAAAAGCTTAATTAATAGCAAAGTGGTAAATTTGAGAGCCACTAAATAGACTTGAAATTTTTTAGGAAACATTTGAGTCTCCATTGATTTGGGTAAAAATCTGTGTAAAACTCAATTTGGTACAAATTTGGATAAAGGATTGGAGGTTGTTTTTAATGACTTTTACCCAAAATTAAGTTTGATTTAGGTTGGAGTGGAGATGCCCTTAGCATTTATTGAAATGAGGGAGAGACATTGCAGTGTCGTTACGTTGGCAGTACAAGATTTAGGCCTAATAGACTATAAGAAGGCGTGGAAGCATTCAAATGATCATAAGATTCTGAAATGCGTGGTTTTTTTTATTGTTTATCTATGTTTACTTAGATATTAATGGTGACTCAATGCAGATAGTTAATGTGTTTTAACAACATACACTTCAGAATTGGTTGATTGACTGTGTCTCTTGCATTAATCATAGACAAGCTTAACTTAAGCGTGAATTGCACTTAAAATGTGCACTTTTATGTCCTGCATTGGCTATTGAACAGCTTAAGTAACCCTGATTATTGATGATCTAAACTAGTTGAAAAGCTTGCAGATTATTTATCCTTGTGTAGTTTCTAGTAAAGGTTTACAGGAAAGGATTGAAAATTTTCAAATATTCTCATCGATTAAGAATCACATTTAGATGGTACACGTAGTTTGGGTATGGGGATCAAACCTATACTCTCTCTTCAATTACCAAACTGACGAAGGACGAGTCGGGGCTTACTCTCCTACTAGTAGTGAACCAAAATTAATATATGAGAACAGAAAAGCTGCTGATGTTAATTGATTTTTATGACTAAAAAGTTGGTATTTGTATGAGTAATAAAGGGGTAAGAATGTAAGCATGAAAAGATGGAATTTTTGGCGCTGTTCAAGGGCTGTTATGGGTGCTGTGAACAGTGCATAACTTGGGTTGTTATATATTCTTTTGTAAGCTGAGGTGCTAGGGTTAAGAAACTATGATGTATGGGGGTTGAATGGGAGTTAATACATATCTGGGTTTGTAGTTTAGAGGCTTGAAGTTTAGAAAAATTAAAACAAGAAGAAGAAAGAAGAAGACAAGGTCTAGGCATCACACCCAAATCCCTCAAGTATCACACTTGGGGATAGAATTGCATCACATAATTCATAGAGGAGCTTTAAAAACTTCACAAAAGTCTCCACACCATGTTCTCCATTGAATTAACCGCATTATATTGCACTATAAAGGCTTCCTTCACCAATTAGTACTAGGACTCTGAAAAAGGAAACTAGGGGCTTGTTTGGTTTGTATCTCAAGATATAATTTTTGAGAAAAATTTTAAAAATTTTGTTTGGTTCAAATTCTTTGAAAAAAAAATATTCCAAAATCACTTTTTTTCTCCTACACATCAATCAATCAATCACTTTTTATCTCTCCTCTCTCTTTTTCAATCACTTTTTCTCTCACACACATTTACTCAGCTAAAACAAAATATCAAATCATTCCAAACTCCCAAACACCAAAACTATTTTCAAAATATACAATCAAACAAACCAAAAATTTTTCTAAACTCTCTATCCAATTTTTTTTTTGAAAATTTATCTCAAAACATAAACCAAATACACCCTAGACTTTTGTCTTCTAAAAAAAATATTTTCAAGACCAATTAAGATCTATAAATAAAACCCAATTACATGACTCATATGACGACCCATGGGTGGCCCCTCGATCCCTTTCACAAAATTATACAAATTACCAAGCCCCCTTGATATATAAAACTTAATAAATCATATAGAAATTAACTAGATTAGTACCTATTGATCAGTCTTTTTTCAATAAAAAATAAACCATTGAACAAAACACTAATTCAGTAGAACAATATATTGTTCAGGTATTAACACTCTATTTCCCTCTTTTTGGCATTGTTTTGTTCCATCTCTTAGCCTAGATTTTAAGCATTTTTGAGCTTTGGTGTAAACTGAAAAAAGTCTTATTTTGAGGTCCTTAATATGTTTGTTTAAGATCATTTTTCTGTTGGGGGTCATCTACCCCCCTTGCATGCTCTATTTTGCCTTGTTTTGAGCCATGCCTTAGGGCCTTTGGGTTGACCTTTGCTTGGCCCTTTAGCCACTAAAATCCAGCAGATTTTCAGTGGTTGGCATGTGGTTTTGAGGGCCAAAATCAGAGAGGGGTGACCCTCTCACCCCTTGTCTTGTTTACTAGCATATTTGGCCTAACAAAGGAGCCCTTATTTGTACACTTCTTGAGCATGTTTCAGGCCATTTTTGGTGGGTTTTAGGACCTTCATAGGCTCTTTACAGAGCCCATTTTTCCATATTAGGTGTCTATCTTGCATGTGTAGAACAACCCTCTTCATAGCATATCAAAGGAGCACATGTTTGTATCATTTGGAGGCCTATTTCAGGCACTTTTTGGTGACTTTTGGGACCTGCCTAGCCTCTTTCCATGGCTGGTTTGGTCCCTTTTTGCTTGCCTCTTGCATGTGTAGAGCAATCCCTTCCATGGCTCATCAAAGGAGCACCTCATTCTTGCATGCATGGACCATGTTTCAGTGAGTTTTTGGGCTTTATTTGGCATGTCATACCTCTGAATTTTATTGTTTTAGTGACCTCTTGAATGCCTCACATGCTTGTAGTGTAAACCCTCTTCACTAGCTTGTATTGCATGCTATTTTGGTCCTTCATTCTAGCACTTTTTGGCCATGCCTTAAACTTATTTTATGCATGTTTTGGATTGCCTTAGCTCTGTTTTTATTCCTCATGGTTGAATGATGCTTTCTATGCATGGTTGTAGTTCAATACCCTTTCCTAGCTTTGAGTTTTTGAGCCTATTGCATGCTTGTGTTGAGGTATTTCCATGATTTGGGGCCATTGTGCATCATATTTCAGAGCTTATATAAACACTAATTCAGTAGAACAATATATTGTTCAGGTATCGTACCACGAGGACCTTGGGTTGAGTTGTATCAATTTAATTGGTAATTTCTAATTTAATTTGAAGAAGAGAGGATGATTGATTTTTACCGATGAGAATTTAGATTAAACCAAACTAATTGCGCAAATAAAGAGAGTTATCCGAATATGGAGAGAGACTTAGGATTCCAAATCTACTACTAATCTCATATCATGTAATTAAAATATCCAATTCTAGTAAATCAATGGTCCGGATAATAATGATGTATCGTGGCTACAAGCTTTGATAACATTGCCAATAGGATGAGCATATCCAAAACACACGAATCGTCCACACCAAACTAGGATTGTGGCACGACTCGTCTCCCCTAAACATAACTCGTCTCAGGGTTTGTATATACAAGAAAGTAAAACAGTTGTATGATCATGCATTCTCAATCACAGAAATTGAATACATAAATCGAATGAAAAGATTATTTGAATAAAATATCTAAATATGATCATACAATGATTATCTAATTTCAAAAAAAAAAAAAACTATAATCAAAATACAAAATTACGGGATACTTGATTAGAGTTTCATCTCAATCTTGAGAAGGAAGCTTAGCCACTCATGGAGAGGTTGAACACTTCGAAAGTTGAAGAGAACGCCATGGATTGATGATTTTTCTTCTTCTCTAGCTTCTAGCCGTATTCTCTAGGGTTTCAGATGCCAAAACAAGTGCCCAAAACCTCTTTTTATCACCTCTAGTCAATTCTGAGTCTAAAACGTGTGCACGCAAAAACGTGACAAATCTCATGCGGATCAACTCAAAGGCCCAACTTGATTCTGGAAAATCCGCTCGTGTGGATTGTGAATTTCGCTCGAGTGGATTCACTCAGTCACGGATTTTCACTCCTTTTGCCTCCTTTTGCGATCTTCTCTTTTCCGGAGTGATATTAACTTGAAGAGGAAGAAAAACACTTTATTGTATCAAATATCATAAGCTAAAAGACTAAAAACATAAGCTCAGAGGTTGAAGGCTTGCTGTTTTGGTCCAGAAGCTGCTGGTCCTTTTGGCTACAAGGGTAACACTCTATTTCCCTTTTTTTGGCATTGTTTTGTTCCATCTCTTAGCCTAGTTTTTAAGGATTTTTGAGCTTCAGAGTAAACTGAAAAAAGTCTTATTTTGAGGTCCTTAATATGTTTGTTTAAGATCATTTTTCTGTTGGGGGTCATCTACCCCCCTTGCATGCTCTATTTTGCCTTGTTTTGAGCCATGCCTTAGGGCCTTTGGGTTGACCTTTGCTTGGCCCTTTAGCCACTAAAATCCAGCAGATTTTCAGTGGTTGGCATGTGGTTTTGAGGGCCAAAATCAGAGAGGGGTGACCCTCTCACCCCTTGTCTTGTTTACTAGCATATTTGGCCTAACAAAGGAGCCCTTATTTGTACACTTCTTGAGCATGTTTCAGGCCATTTTTGGTGAGTTTTAGGACCTTCATAGGCTCTTTACAGAGCCCATTTTTCCATATTAGGTGTCTATCTTGCATGTGTAGAACAACCCTATTCATAACATATCAAAGGAGCACATGTTTGTATCATTTGGAGACCTATTTCAGGCACTTTTTGGTGACTTTTGGGACCTGCCTAGCCTCTTTCCATGGCTGGTTTGGTCCCCTTTTGCTTGCCTCTTGCATGTGTAGAGCAATCCCTTCCATGGCTCATCAAAGGAGCACCTCATTCTTGCATGCATGGACCATGTTTCAGTGAGTTTTTGGGCTTTATTTGGCATGTCATACCTCTGAATTTTATTGTTTTAGTGACCTCTTGAATGCCTCACATGCTTGTAGTGTAAACCCTCTTCACTAGCTTGTATTGCATGCTATTTTGGTCCTTCATTCTAGCACTTTTTGGCCATGCCTTAAACTTATTTTATGCATGTTTTGGATTGCCTTAGCTCTGTTTTTATTCCTCATGGTTGAATGATGCTTTCTATGCATGGTTGTAGTTCAATACCCTTTCCTAGCTTTGAGTTTTTGAGCCTATTGCATGCTTGTGTTGAGGTATTTCCATGATTTGGGGCCATTGTGCATCATATTTCAGAGCTTATATGTATGCCATATTCCCATGTTTTCCACTCTTTAAATGCGTTTGAGAGTTGTGCATAAATGCCTCGTTTTTGGACCATTGCATGAGCTTCATTTCCATGCCTTTCGAGCCATCATTTTAGTCCATTTTCCTACTGTTTTGGGCCTGCATAGGGATTGTTTGGGGCTGGTTTGGTCATTTGTGCATTGCTTTGCATACCTCTAGTGTAATATGCTTCACTAGTTTCGGTATTTGAGCCATCCAACATGCATTGCATCACTGTATAGTTTGTTTACACAAAACACTTCAAAACTAGATTTCTAGCAGTACCCTTATGATTTTGAATATTGCATATGTCAGATTTGTTCATAAATTGTTTCCTTCCTTCAGGGACTTGTCTTACTACCGAGGAGTGCCTCTTGAATAAAAACAGGAACCCTCATTTGACTAAAGAGCAAGTTGAGGATGAACTTAAAGCATATCTTGGAGTCAAGAAGATTATTTGGTTGCCTCATGGATTATTTGCTATGTTACATGGACTCTTCAAATTAAATCAAATACCCGTGTCGGACACCCGACACTCGGACAAGGGTATGGGATATGTGTCGGATACTTTTCAACGGATACTTCTTATATAATTGTATATAACACTATTATTATATGTATATATTGTTATATAATTGCTATAAATGTCATTTTGACACTATAAGTTAAATATAATACCATTTTATCTCACATATTAGATTAAAAATATAAAAATATGACATTTTTTTGCCGAGTCCGCGTATCCTTAAATTTATGATTTGATGAGTCCGACCTCTAGATACATACCCGCACCCGACACCCGTACCCGAGTCCATGTAACATAGCCTACCACACTTACAGATTAAACCAAACTAATTGCGTAAATAAAGAGAGTTATCCGAATATGGAGAGAGACTTAGGATTCCAAATCTACTACTAATCTCATATCATGTAATTAAAATATCCAATTCTAGTAAATCAATGGTCCAGATAATAATGATGTATCGTGGCTACAAGCTTTGATAACATTGCCAATAGGATGAGCATATCCAAAACATAGGCACGAATCGTCCACACTAAACTAGGATTGTGGCACGACTCGTCTCCCCTAAACATAACTCGTCTCAGGGTTTGTATATACAAGAAAGTAAAACAGTTGTATGATCATGCATTCTCAATCACAAAAATTGAATACATAAATCGAATGAAAAGATTATTTGAATAAAATATCTAAAAATGATCATACAATGATTATCTAATTTCAAAAAAAAAAAAAAAACTATAATCAAAATACAAAATTACGGGATACTTGATTAGAGTTTCATCTCAATCTTGAGAAGGAAGCTTAGCCACTCATGGAGAGGTTGAACACTTCGAAAGTTGAAGAGAACGCCGTGGATTGATGATTTTTCTTCTTCTCTAGCTTCTAGCCGTATTCTCTAGGGTTTCAGATGCCAAAACAAGTGCCCAAAACCTCTTTTTATCACCTCTAGTCAATTCTGAGTCTAAAACGTGTGCACGCAAAAATGTGACAAATCTCATGCGGATCAACTCAAAGGCCCAACTTGATTCTGGAAAATCCACTCGTGTGGATTGTGAATTTCGCTCGAGTGGATTCACTCAGTCACGGATTTTCACTCCTTTTGCCTCCTTTTGCGATCTTTTCTTTTCCGGAGTGATATTAACTTGAAGAGGAAGAAAAACACTTTATTGTATCAAATATCATAAGGTAAAAGACTAAAAACGTAAGCTAGGGAGCCTCGAAGTGTAACATTTCGGCTTAGATCACCTACCATAAATGATCATATTATTCTATTAACCCTAAAAGGTTTATTGTGCATGTTTCCAATGAGTTTGGCTTGAAAATAATGAATTCTCTCCTTTTGCCTCCTTTTGCGATCTTTTCTTTTCCGGAGTGATATTAACTTGAAGAGGAAGAAAAACATTTTATTGTATCAAATATCGTAAGCTAAAAGACTAAAAACATAAGCTAGGGAGCCTCGAAGTGTAACATTTCGGCTTAGATCACCTACCATAAATGATCATATTATTCTATTAACCCTAAAAGGTTTATTGTGCATGTTTCCAATGAGTTTGGCTTGAAAATAATGAATTCTCTCCTTTTGCCTCCTTTTGCGATCTTTTCTTTTCCGGAGTGATATTAACTTGAAGAGGAAGAAAAACACTCTATTGTATCAAATATCATAAGCTAAAAGACTAAAAACATAAGCTAGGGAGACTCGAAGTGTAACATTTCGGCTTAGATCACCTACCATAAATGATCATATTATTCTATTAACCCTAAAAGGTTTATTGTGCATGTTTCCAATGAGTTTGGCTTGAAAATAATGAATTCTAGTGCTTCCTTAATTTTGGTGTTATTTGCTCTTCTTGTGGACTGCTTTACAATGTGTAAGCAAGCTTGTAACTTAGACATGACTACAACGCTCATCATGAACTGTCTTGATAATGTTCCTGATAAGTTTTAAGAACAGGAGTGGCAAAAATATAGGAAAAAAAATAGATGGTTGGATCATTTGAATAAGAGCAAGTCTAGAGGACGTGGTTACTTGCCTGACAAGGAAAACAGGAAAAAGAACAAAAAAAAAATGGTCCGAGGCCTTACCCTTTTCTTTTTCTTTTTCTTGGGTTGTAAATTTTGCAGGTAAAATTGTTGCCAGAGGTTGATCTTCATGGAGTGAGTTGGCATCGACATAAGCATATTTTAGCATTCATTTCTGGGCCAAATCATGTTACAATTCGTGATTATGAGGATTCAGGTCAGTAATTTACTTTCACTGATATGAGGGTATACTTGCTTCTTTCTTCGCCATTTGGATTGTCAAAGAGCATTTCATTCGTCATCCTTTAGATGTCTGTTCAATATAATTTTTGATTCTAGTGAATTGAACCTTTATATTTTTAACAGAACGGAAGGAACCATGCATTTTGACCCATGAATCCCAAAGAGATGTTAAGCTTCTTGAGTGGAGGCCAAATGGTGGGAGGACACTTTCTGTAGCATGCAAGCAAGTATCACAACATTTCTGCATTCTTATTGTACAATTAGCTCAATGTTTTGTGTATTATGATTTTAAGAAGATTTACCAACAACTATGTTATTTCTTATTGGGTATCTTTTCAATAACTGAATTGAGCAGGGGTAGAATTTGTATATGGACTGCTTCTTATCCTGGCAATGCGGCATCTGTGAGATCTGGAGTTACCTCTGGCACTATTGCTAGGGGTGCTGGAACTCGATGGACTCTAGTGGATTTTCTTCGAAGTCACGATGATGAACAAATTAGTGCACTTTCTTGGAGTCCAGATGGAAGATATCCTAACTAGTTTCCATTTGGCATTCATTTCTATAACTTTACTATGCTTTAACATATTATCTAGTACTAGGAACATGACTTACTAAATTTGAGATATAATTATCACTTTCCTCACAGCTTTTGCATGCCATTAGTCCTTTTTCATCGATTAAAGTTTCATTAGTCCTGTAATGAAACTTTGGATTCCTTTGATGTTTTTGTTGTCTTTGCCATGCACTGGGCCTTTGTGGTTGTTCCTCTGTGTGTAGGGTGCTGAAAGATACATCATGTAATTTGCTTCCCTGTTGATTGACATTTGGATAGTTTTTATTTTTATTTTTATTTTTAGCAAAAGAAAATACATAGATATACTTTATAATTGACAATATACAACAATGAGGATTTATTCTCACTTCTAAATGAACCATATTTTTCTATGCTTTCATTTTCTGTATTCTATTAATGGTTGAATCTGAGATTTTCTTGACCTCTTTTTACATATTTGGCATCTGGCTCGTATGAGAGCTCGTTATTCACGATCTGGGATGTTGCTCAAGGTATATATAAAATCATTTCCCACTTCAATTTTTTTAGCATCAGAATCAGTGTTTGCTTTGGTCTTACAGAAGCTCACAGATTATGCTGAGTAGCATGCTGGGTGATTTTAGAAGCATCAGAAATAGTTGATTTCTTCATTATATTACTTTTTTTTTTTCCCTTCTCACTTTTGGGTAGAAAACTTTCTCTTTGTTATTTGTTTTTTTTTTTTTTTTAACTTTTTATAAATTCTTTGATAAAAATTGTGTTGTTTACTATGTGTATCAGATGGAACATCTTGAGATGATGCCCATTAACCACTCTCTTTGGATTTGGTTCACATTATTTGACTGATTTTTCTTTTGATTGGGCATTGGATAATGTTGCCCACCCTGAACCTGAGTCATCTGTAACATGAGTTTGTATTTGTCCTTCAATGATTAGCATGCCTGCATACTACAACTCCATAGAAGATCTATTTCTGTAACTTATCCTTCATATAACTATGAGACACATCGGAGTGATTCAATTTTAAAATCATTCAGTGATATAGGACACAAGTTTCAAGTATATATATTCATAAACTACTTGTTTTGCAAAAACCAACCAAAAAACAAAATAGAATAAAAGGAAAAAATGTGTTTCTGTTTCTCCCTGTTAGATAATACATTAATGATGTAGAAAAAGTGTGGAGATACTCTCCTACTAAGCAGTGAACGGTGAGCTCAAAAATAAAATATGATGCAGCAGTGGAGGGCTGAAATTGCTAGTTGACGTGGCTAAAAAGGTGGTAAATATGTATAGGCTCTTATGGTTTGATGGATAATGAAAGGGTATGGGTTTGAGCATGAAAAGATGAGGTCTTGGGTATTATTCAGGAATTTTGTGGGCACTGTGAACCTCTGAAACTTGGGATGTTGTGTTCTTTAAGGTACTAGGGTTGAGTAGTTGTGGATGTTAAGTTATTGGGGTTATGAAATAGGATTTCTAGGATTGGGAAAGGCTTGAAACAGATCTAGTTCTAGAATTTTTACTGGCCAAAAAATACATAGAAAATTAAGAAGGAAGGAGACAGTTTAAGCAGCACACCTAGAGTTAGAATTGCATCATACAATCCCAAAAAGGCGTCAAAAGTTTTGGAAAATCTCTAAAACATATTCTCTATCAATAAGTTGGATGAATTTATATAGACTAGAACTCCTGATTCTAAAAGAACTTGGACTTCCTATTTTGGAAACTAAAACTTTTGACTTGGAAATCTATCTAAAACCATGTACGACCCATGAATAAAAACTCAATTACATAACTTGACCCACATGATGACCCATGGGTGACCTTGGACAACCCATTCCAGAAATTCTACAAATCACCAAAATACCCCACACCTATAAAATACTGTAATACATATAAAAAAAACCACTAATTAATAGATTTAAAATAAAAATAAAGACAAAATTGTATTACTTGAATAAAAAGGGACAATTGCAGAAAAATGGTATCAATACAAAATACCATTTTTTTTGCAATTGTCCCAATAAAAAACACCCAAGGGTGCACCAAGTAGGTGTTTGGCATGCACTAAAAAAGTGCACTTGTTTTGCATACATACACTTATTTGAGTCACATCAATCAACATCTCCTCTCTACCTTTTTACCTACTTTCTCTACTTTTCTACACATTTTTTTTATTATTATAAAAAGTCAAAAAGTGTACTTATTTAGAACATCCCAAACCAATGCTCAACAAAAAAATTGAGTTCAGAAATGAAATCTAAAGAAGAGAGGATTCACAGAATAATCCTTGATTCCAAAAATAAAATGTATGTATGTAAAAGACCCATCTTGAGCTTCTAGATCCCAAGAATTGTCTCCTAAAAAATGCATCTATTTCCCTCTCTCCAAGCTTCACATTATACAGAGCGGGGCCACCGTCCAAGTTTTCTTTTTGGACTTCCAACTGCATCTACTACCCCAACATTCCATCACCTCCTTGATCGAGCTTGGCACCCTAAAGGTGGAAAAGGTGAATCCCAAAGCTCATTTGCCACAGGACAGTGTATGAGAAGATAATCCCCTCTCTCTTCCGCTATACAGTACATTCAGCAACAGCAGCACCTATAGGTCATTTTATATCCCCGCTTTATCAGATTGTCCACCGTTGAGATATAATTCAAGGCTGCTAAAAGCCACCTTTGAAGGAGCTCCTGTCTTCCAAATTGATGGCAAATGTTCTCTAGATCCTCCAGAAATCAATGAGAAGTAAGGTATTACAGAGAAGAACTCATATCTATTCTTCCACTTCTAACTGTCCTGTCTGGCTGGAGTGATAGTGCTGGAAATTTGTGTTAATGCATATAATAAGATAGTGGCATATGATAGTGGTGTTGGTGGTAGATAGTGACATGTATAGAATATGATAGTGGTGTTGGTGGTAGATAGTGGCATGTATAGAATATGATAGTGGTGTTGGTGGTAGATAGTGGCATGTATAGAAAATGATAGTGGTGTTGGTGGTAAATAGTGGCATGGATATAATATGATAGTGGTAGATAGTGGTAATATATAATATGTAAGTGGCATAAAATGGGTTATAATGATGTTTGTAATATCTCCTATATAAGGAGTGTCATTTGGTCTTGTAAAATAAGAAGTTTTGAATATAACACAAATATATTCCTTCTTCCTCATATTTTCGAAGTTCTTCTTCCTCATATTTTCTAAGTAAAT